AAAAGTCTAAAGGATATTCAATGGAGGCAGATGTCTAAATGTCTTCTGCCTGATGGGGAACCATGATGGTCTTGACATGCTCACTTGGTTTCCTCCTTTAAGCTCCTGCACCTCAAACCTTCTTCTCTCAATGAAGCAGCCCAGATCAATCATCTCCACTGACTGTCTTCTTCAGGTCATTATAAGCAGTACAGGTCTGCAACTCATATCTTGGTTCAGTAAAGTATTCTGCTAACTCTTTGGATAAATGTCCACTTCTTTCATTCCAGTAGGTATACTGTATGGGACACTCCAGTGAGAACCATGAGAATGTCATCCATGTCTTGATCTCCAGCCATCGACCACTTGGAGCAGTCCACTCTACAATCTGGTTATCCTTCAGGAGGCCTCGTCACAATTCTTACCTGTCTCATCAGGGCAGTAGAACATGTCTAGCACTTGTCAGCAGACTTGACAAATAGATTTGTCCATGGTGCTGTTATACCAACATCAATCCTTTTGCAGCCAACAGGTCCTTGGTTGTCCACAGTCCAAAGCTAACGATATTATACATCTCCCAGATTTTTAGCAGGTCACCAAATCGCTATCCCTTCAAGTCCCGGCTATTGTCTAATGTCTAGTAGAGACAAGTCCCATACAACTCTGCCGCCATGCCTCACCGACTGTTAGCCCAACTACACCGTCCACAGCCTGAAGAGGGGGCACTGCTGGGACAAGAGTCCAGGTCCTGCTGGACCGTTGGTTCAAAGAATGATCCTGGATTGTTGCTTGCCCATCTTAAATGAGGTCAAAGGATTATCACAACATTTGGCAAAGAAAGAGTCCTTGTCTTTGCTTCCTGAACACAGCGCACAATTGTTTTTGCCAGCATTGCAAACATGCTTGCTGGCTCCAAAATGGTGGAACTAGCTACCTATTGATATCAGGACAGCAGGAGGTCTGTTGTTGTTGTGAGTTTGCTTATTGTAATTCGCTTTGTAATAAAGGAACAGCTAAATGTAATAGAATGTAACGTAATGGTGGTATAGCCAGACTTCTGAACAGTTTGATGTTGAAAAAAAGCCTCACCCTGAAGTTGGAGTACTTGCTAACTTCAGTAACTCCTGATGATGTTAATGATTCCACATAAAACTGAATTGGTGTTTTGTGTTTGCGTTATGTATATTTCATATATGTGTATAGGTTTAAGTTGAACAAAGCCACACTTGTTTTAAAGACCTTCCAATGTCATACACAGCTTGTGGTGATATATTGAATATCACCATGTCTAAAAAGATGGTAATGTACAGAGCTGTAACAGTTATAAACTGTGATGTTATACACTGTTACACTACATTCTGTATTTTGAGATGTTCTCAAATTAAATAACAGCTGCTCTGTCTAGGTAAAACATCCACGATAACACCTTTGACACATTTATACTCACTCATTAACTCTCATTACAGCCCACAGCCATATCTCATCAGCGGACATCATCTGTCTGTTGGAGTGTGTGCCCAGCATTCACATGCAGGCTGGGTATTTTTAACACTAGAATAAAGTGAAATATAATTTTTTGATTAATTGGGTTTGGTGGACACCCAGAGATAAGTGTGGCATTTACTGGGAAAGCACATCCTGTGGGTGAACTGCCCTGTGAGTCTGTGCTACATCCTGAGAGCTGAGAAGCCAGATGGAAATGTGAATATGTTAATAATGGGAACACAACCTCTCTTTTTATTTCTCAGGGCTACCACTGAGTCCTGGTCCTCAAGACATGGTCCAGATCTCCTGTGAGTGAGGTGATGAATTATAAACTGAAAATGAAATCAATATTCCACACCGGTACTTCTTAATGTCTCAGAATGATACATATCAACATACTCCTCTTATACTTTCCTCCCTGTTTTGTTTACAGAATTTGCATCCTGTGTTCTGAAGATGGAAAATGTTTACTGGACCAACAGTTTTAGAAATCAAAGCAAGACAGTAGGTTTAATCAAATCAAAAACTGAGATAAATGTGATATAAGGAAAAAGAGAACGGAAAAGCGTTTGAAACCAGACAGACTGTAAGAAAATACAATTCTACAAATCTGTATCAGTGAATGATTAATTAATTATGTTGAATGATGTGTTCTCGCCTTGCGAGATATCACTTTCCATTTATTTTACACTTTTACAGAAGATCTCAAGAGAGCACTAGTTCAAAAGACTCTTCAATTTAGGGTTCCCATCGGAGACGCTTTCAGAGTCTCTGCCATACGTCGGCTTTGATGTCTTCCAACTGTCCTAATCTCACTGTTCAGAGACTGTTCATCACTTTTGTAAGTGCTCTTTTTTCTTGACTTCTAATTTAATATCATGTAGTTTCACAAAATATGAAAAGATTTTCATGGAAACATCAATGTATAACTTAAAATATGTTATAAGAATAAGGTATAGGTTAGTTTGTACTAGTGATCATAGGTCTTTTATTTAACCAAAAGCTTTCCCCTTTTTCCAATCATTTTGTTAAAAATCAGGATTTATTTTGTGAAAGATGAAGGATTTTGATTTATTAACATCTATTTACTAGTTACTGGTTGAAGAAAGAAGTAAAAGTCCTGCATTCAAGATCCTACTTAAGTAAAATTACAAAAGTATTGGCATCAAAATATACTTAAATAAGCAGGAGTAAAAGTTCTTATTGTGCGTAGGAGCCCATCAGAAATATATATAATTACTGGATTATGATTGTTGCTGCATTCATGTGTTTATCAAAGCTGGTAAATGTGGAGATCATTTGAACTACTTTGCACACTGCTGCTGGACATCTTCACCTATATCCACATTTCACAGTTGATTTATTAGTTTTATATGATGGTTTTCAATGAGCAAATAATCTAAATATATCAAGTTATTGGTAACTAATGCAGTCAAATAAATGTAGTGGAGTAAAAAGTAAAATATTGGCTCCCAAATTTGAAGTAGAAGTATAAAGCACTATAATGTGGAAATACTCAATACCCAGAATTGTACTTAAGTTCATTACTTAAGTTAATGTACTTCCCTACATTACACCATGTAGTCTATTTGACCTTGACCTCCATCTTGTTAAGTGGAAGGTGACTTTCTACCCGGCAGGTCATTTATTAATGAGAGGGAGATGGATCTGTTGTCTGAGGCATTTTTCCCATAGCAGCCTTTTGCCGTTGCCCCCCCCCCCTCTCTCTAATAAGAGTCACATTTAGATATAAGCATATGCAGGTAGATCTCTGATAGCTGTTTATAGAAAAGCCAACAAAAGTTGAAAAGTGGATATAACCTCAACTCAGA